ACAGTGATGGACTCCTCATTAGGTAGGCAACACATAAGTCCCCACTCTGTCCCAAGTTTTCCTTGGTCATTCTCTGGCTGTAGCTTAGCTCCTTCTGGGGCTCATCGCTGTGCACTAGGTGGCTGGGCATGCAGAAACTATAAGGCCCCGGTGAGGACAGGAGTAGAAGACAACTGGATCCTGAGCCACTCTGAAGCAAGGAGAGCAATGCAGCTTAGAGAGAGAAAAATGCCTTGCTGAGGGTCAACAGCAAGTGCACAGATCCCAGGGCTGTGATGGGACCAGAAGATGAAGTGCTCTGGCTTCGGGAAAAGAGACCCAAGCCACAAGGTAAAGCCACTGCTCACCAGCCTGGGGCCTACAGGGGACTGAGGTGTGTCTGCAGTTGGGTTTTAACCCCCGTGTGTGTGTGACAAGAGGCAAAAATGTATCTGCTAGCCAGGTGTATCACACACCTGTAATCCCAGACCTCTGGGAGGCTGAGGCAGGAGGATCACACATTTGAGCTCAATCTGGGCAACTTAGCTACTCTGCAAGACCCTTTCACAAAACAAAAAATAAAAAAGGACTGCGGATGTAGATCAGTGTGAAGGCCTTGAGCTCAATCATCCCCAGTACTGCCATAAAACAGCAGTCTCCTGTCCTGAGCATGCCCTCCCCAGGCATGAAGAGATCAAAGGTTCCACTCTTGCAGATAATGGTTTCATTTTAGGTTGGGCACTGTTCTTCTCCCTGTACCTCATTTGGAAGGCAACTGGCACCCAAGCAATGTGGGAGTTCCAGTGGTGGGCTTTAGCACTGTACCCAGGGTTGGGACTTTGTGAAGGTTTTTAGTTTTTGTCATGGCCCTCCCATCAACAGTGACCTAATTTCATCTCCAACTCCTCTTTCTAATACCATTACTGCCTTGTATTCACCATCTAGGTGAATGGTTCACAACTTTGGCTGCAAATTAGAACCAGTTGGGAACTTTTCAAACCTCAGCACCAAAGCCAGACCCCAAACCACCATTATGTCTCTGGGAATGGGGCCCAGGCTCCCCAGGGGAAACCAATGTGGTCAAGGTAAAGCACCTCAGCCCTGCTGGGGGAACAGAGAGCAAGAGCGGTGATCCAACCACCTTGGTCTCCACTGGCCTGACCGCACTGCTCCACCTACAGGCAGCAGTTTCTAAACGTCTATTGCCCTGGCTTCCCTCGCAAGTAAAGCTCACTGACCCTAAATGGCAATGCAGACAAAACTAAGGAAAGAGAATCAAGAGGAACGGCATTAAAATGGGAATGTGCATGCCTCACAAAGGCTGCCTCCTAGCAACCCGGCCGAGAGGCTAGGAGAGAGCCTCACTTGTCACACTGTTGCGGTACAACCGTATTGATACTTTTTCTCTCAGATCAAGAACTACTGATATCCACATGTACAGACATTAGAACCAGGAAGCACGATGGAGC